CCACCCACCCCCACCACCACCACCACCTCCCACCACCACCACCACCACCCACCCCCACCACCCCCACCACCACTACCACCACCACCCCCACCACCCCCACCACCACCCCCACCACCACCACCACCACCACCCCCACTACCACCACCCCCACCACCCCCACCACCACTACCACCACCACCCCCACCACCACCCCCACCACCACCACCACCACCCCCACTACCACCACCACCACCCCCACCACCACCACTACCACCACCACCACCACCACGCCTCGCTCGCCTGCTCCCCCACCACCACCACCACCCCCACCACCACCCCCACCACCACCACCACCACCACCCCCACTACCACCACCACCACCCCCACCACCACTACCACCACCACCCCCACCACCACCCCTACCACCACCCCCACTACCACCACCACCACCCCCACCACCTCCACCACCACCCCCACTACCACCACCACCACCCCCACCACCCCCACCACCACCCCCACCACCACCACCACCACCCCCACTACCACCACCACTACCCCCACCACCACTACCACCACCACCCCCACCACCACCCCTACCACCACCACCCCCACCACCACCACGCCTCGCTTGCTCCCCCACCACCACCACCACCCCCACCACCACTACCACCACGCCTCGCTCTCCTGCTCCCCCACCACCACCACCACCCCTACCACCACCCCCACCACCACCACCACGCCTCGCTCGCTTGCTCCACCACCACCACCTTCCCCGCATCGAGATGTCCCTCGAAGAAGTAGACAACTCTCCGCCGTGTTTCTAGCTTGTTCCCGCTTGTTGATCGGCACGATGTCCGACGTTTCGCTCTGCGCACCGGGAGCGCCCGCAGGAGCTGTGGCCATCGGAATCAGAATGATTGTTCTTCGGACCGGGAGGAATCCGAATGTGCGATGAAGCTCTTTTATCCACTGATGTCCACGGCTGGTGTAAAACACCTCCGAGTGAAAGCGTCCTCTTGATGTGCCACTGATTTCAAATCGGAAGCGAAGGCGATTTTTCCGCTCGGTTTTCCGGTGCTGCTGCTACCGCCCCCTCCCCCGGAACGTCAGACATCGAGCCGGACCGCACACAGAGGCTCAACCGGAAAAAAAAACGCAGCGGACAGCGATAGAGCACAGCTGCTAAAGCCTACCCAGTAGCATGAATATACTGTCACTCGATCTGTACGTGTGACAGCCGTTCGTCGATCCACTGCTGGATGAGGGCCTCCCCACATCGCCGTATGGGGTCGTGGTGGATGTTTGACCATACTTCACCACCACTGGCCACAGCTTAGCTTACGGCATCCATCAGTGACTTGTTCATCGGAAACTCAGTTTATTTGAAATCGAAATTTCTCTTAGAGTTTGTTTGGATAATTTAAGCATTTTTTTTGGCATTTTCCTAAAAACGATTGTTGTGTTCCCCTTGTTGGCTACCACTGCCGTGACACACGGTGTGATGTATGCCTTGTTTTACTGTAGCGTCCTCATAATTCCTGTCTGCGATAGTGTAGCGACCACTTGACGCACTTCTCTTGAGATGCCACGTCAAGTGAAGATACGTTCACTTGACATCAGGCGGAGACCCCCACTCCAACAGCCCCGAGTCTCCCGCGCATCTCCCCCTTTTATACCGATACGAGGCCACGCACCCCTTCCTGAACCTTCTCGCTGACTCTGGACGCTCGCTCCACCGGCAGACTCCGCTGTCCTCCTCCGTCGCCTGACCACGCTCCCTTCTCGATCAATCGCGTAGCCACCAGTCCCTTCGCACTCGCAACTGATGCCCCTGTCATTACCTCCCCTGGCCACTAGTTCCTTCGCACTGTAAACTGACTCTCCTGTCATTACCTCCCGTAGCCACCAGTCCCTTCGCACTCGCAACTGATGCCCCTGTCATTACCTCCCGTAGCCACCAGTCCCTTCGCACTCGCAACTGATGCCCCTGTCATTACCTCCCCTGGCCACTAGTCCATTCGCACTGCAGGCCGACTCCCCTGTCATTACCTCCCCTGGCCACTAGTCCACTCAGAGCGCATGTGGGCTCTACTGTGATGACAATTGGATGTAATCTGTTACGTGTGGCTAATTGCCAGTTTACAACTTTCTGTCACCACAAATATGGCAGGAGCATATATTATCTGAAAAAAGAGCTGTTCATCGGTTTCCTCCAGTATAAATGTTCTGAGTCTGCTGCTGTAGCTGCTACTGATGATAAAGCATTGACAACCACCACCTTCCAAATGATCATCTTTCTGGTGAACGTGGTGGAAAAGGCACTGATCATTGTGATGTTCATGATGATAATGATCATCATCACCATCATCACGTTCATGATCATCACAAATGTTTGCGGTTGTAGTTTGGGTGGCAGGGTGGCGCTGTTGTAACACAGGTGCCTCACAGCAAGACTGACCTGGGTTCGATTCCTGACTTGGGGCGCCTGCCTGTGTGGAGTTTGTTTGATCTCCCCCTGTTTTGCATGGGGTTTCCTCCGGGTTCTCCGGATCCCTCTCAGAGCTAAACTCACACACACAGTGGAAATGGTATTGGCAAAACATTCAAATGCTGACAACTTGAACCGGTAATGGATAACTATTGTAATGTATATGTATACATTAACCACCCCCCCCCCCCCTCCACAAATCTGGCTATCGCCTGATGATGCTGGTTGTAATTACTGACGAATCGTCGTACTCGAATTGTAAATGTGGGCTTACTCTCCAACACCCCGGTGTGCTGTACGAGTAAGGAATTGGCGCGTCTTGTTTACGCGACAAACCTTACTAATTGGCTGTGTCGGGTGGTGGCGGGTTTAATTACACATTTAGATTTATTCAATCTAACCCAAAATAACTCTATGGTGCTGAAAATGTACTTGCAAATCACTCAATTGGGATCACACACAGCAGCAGCAACATCCCCCCACCCGCTAAGAAAACTTGACAGGAGTCTTGGGAGTCAGTGAGGCTTCCCTGAGTAAAGAAGCGAAATAATAGAATAACAAGTACACTCGTGGTTGCAATGAGTGTGGCTGTGGTTATGATGCTACTGCTGTTACTGCCACAGCTGCTGCTGATGACCATGAAATGTATGGTTGGTAGTGGTCACGAGGATTGTAGCTGCGGTTATGATTCTGCTGCTGCTGTTACTGCCACAGCTGCTGCTGATGACCATGAAATGTATGGTTGGTAGTGGTCACGAGGATTGTAGCTGCGGTTATGATGCTGCTGCTGCTGTTACTGCCACAGCTGCTGCTGATGACCATGAAATGTATGGTTGGTAGTGGTCACGAGGATTGTAGCTGCGGTTATGATGCTGCTGCTGCTGTTACTGCCACAGCTGCTGCTGATGACCATGAAATGAATGGTTGGTAGTGGTCACGAGGATTGTAGCTGCGGTTATGATGCTGCTGCTGCTGTTACTGCCACAGCTGCTGCTGATGACCGTGATATTTTTGGTTGGCAACGGTCACGAGGATTGTAGCTGCGGTTACGTTATTGCAGTTACTGCTGCCACTGCTGTCGCTGCTACCACGGCAGTGAGTGTAGCGTGACCGGCCTGGGCCTCCATCGCTCTGTTCCCGCACGACGTCCCCCCGGCCGCTGTGTCTGCGTGCGTGCGTGAGTGAGTGCGTGCGTGAGTGAGTGCGTGAGTGAGTGCGTGAGTGAGTGCGTGCGTGCGTGAGTGCGTGAGTGAGTGCGTGCGTGAGTGCGTGAGTGAGTGCGTGAGTGCGTGAGTGAGTGCGTGAGTGCGTGAGTGAGTGCGTGAGTGCGTGCGTGAGTGCGTGAGTGAGTGCGTGAGTGCGTGAGTGAGTGCGTGAGTGCGTGCGTGAGTGCGTGAGTGCGTGCGTGCGTGAGTGCGTGAGTGCGTGTGTGCGACACGGCCCCTGGATGAGCCTCCGCGTTCCTGTGCCGGTTTAATTCCGTCCCGTTTGGCCGCGATCAGCGGCGGCCCCCTCGCCCTGGGCGCGTCTCTGTCACCCGCCCGCCGCACCGCCGGCTCGCCGCCCTCCAGCCAGCGACGGATCAAATTGAAGCAGCCCCGCTCCCTGTGTATCCTGTTGCAGGGGCCGATTACGCATCCAGGAGTTCGACTGCCCACCCCACATAGGCAGACGCGCGCGTGTGCGCGCCAGCCTGCTAATTCTCCTCCCTTATCTCATCACCTCTCCCCCTCTTCTGTTTTGAACTCTCCTTGTCCTTCTCCTCTCACCTCTTTCCCGGACTCCCGTTTCACCTCTGTGCTCTCTCCCTGTGCTGTTCTCTCGACTCCCCGTCGCTACTCTTTTCTCTCACCTCTTTCCTCTCCACCTGCCCCTCTGCTCTCCTCTCTCTCTCCCTAGGCATCCCCTCTCTCAACTGGTACCTCCTCTCGTCTTACCTCTTCCCCTTCGTTCCCCTTCCCCACCTCCTCTCCACTCCAGTCTCCCCTCTTCTCTCCTCTCACCTATAACTGCCCCTCCCATCTCACCTCTTCTCTCCTCTTTACACTGACCATGCTCCCCCCCCCTTGCCTTCCCATAATCCCACCTCCAAAGATGGACTGCTGGGGCAATTTCTGTTAGAGAGCGCCTATCGAGGCTGATATGCTCACACACGTACAGGTACACGTGCAGACAGACACACGTGGTTTAGAAACAACCTCACACAGTGATACAGTGGAACGGCAACAACAACAACAGCTGACACTTATGACAGCTATGGTGCCAGCCTAGATGCACTTTGACAATAACACTGAGAAACACAAAAACAACGATGGTAACGATTTTAATAATAATCACGGTGATAGTGAAAATGAATTTAATTAATGGTGGGTTGATGATGATAAGATGCCTACGGCATTGCCCATGATCATGCATCAAATTTCTGAAATAAAATAAAAAAGTTGCTCTCACTAACCACTGTGCCTCCGCTCATTCCTCCCAACCCCCCTCCCCCGCATCCCTCACTGCGCCCCTCCAACCCCCCGGGGGACAGCCCCCACAGGGCCAACAGGGGGAGGCTGCCACACCGGGCGACGTCGGGCCCCCGGCTGCGATGGGGCTGGCCGCGGACTCCGTGGAGCCCTACAGCGTGCAGACGGAGCCCGTCGACCTCTCCATCAATAAGTCGAGCCGGAGTTCGCCCGCGGCCTCCGCCACCGCCCGGCTCAACCACACCAAGGCCGGCCACACGTTACCGCCGCGGCCGCTGCCGCCGCCACCGCCGTCGTCGTCGTCTCCGTCGGCGTTATCGCTGCTGACCTCGTCCTGCTCCTCCTCCTCGTCGCCGTCGTCGGTGACGTGCCAGTCGCTGGCGCTGTCGGCGCTGCCTGGCACGGCCGCGGTGCTGGCCACGCCGACGGGAGCCGGCCTGGTGCGGGTGTTCCACGCGCGGCTCGCGGTTGGAGCCCACCCCCCCGTCGCGGTGGCGGTGGGGGGGGCGACGGCTCCACCGCCGCCGCCGCCGCCGCCTCCTTCCGTCGGGGGGGGTGCCGGCGGCGGTGCGGCGGGCCCGGCGCTCGGCGCGTGCCGCTCGTGGTGCAGCCGGTGCCCGTGGTGTACACCGCGGCCGTGCGCAGCCACCCCGGCGTGTCCATCGCCGTGCCCGTCATCGAGGAGCACGCCGCACCACGGCAAGAAGGTGGGGGAGGACGATGAGGAGGGTGGTGAGGAGGGTGGTGAGGAGGGTTAGAGATGGTGATGGTGAGGCAGAGGAGCCAGTGTTATCCATAATCGATGTTTGGGTTAGGCCACAATGATCTGGCCAAATTTTTGGAGTGAAACCCTCCACCATCCGACATAGCCAAGTGGGCGAGTAATTTGGTGAAAGTAATTTACCGCTACTAGCGTGAAGTTTGCTTATAAAGACCTTTCAGATTTTATTTTCATTTGGTCTTGCTACTTACAGAAGTATGTATGTATGTTGAACTTTTTCCGCTCTGTACGTAGCCTACCCTGCTCATTGGAGGTTCGATATGGCCAAATTGTTGGCACCTTATGCTCCACACGGGCACACCTTGAAATCGTCAAACGCAGAACGTCTTGTTGGTTGCTAACACCGTCGTTTAGGATCAGGAGGGCCTTGAGTTGATGTGTTCCTTGTCTCTGGATGTCTATCCTAGTCATGTTAGGACTGTCATGAGCCTGCGGGCCGATGTTGTGGGTAGTGCAGAATAATCCAATTCCAGTTACCAAGATTTCAACATACTGGGTGGCCCTAAAAGCCGGGACACAGAGTTATTATATTTATTTCAACGCACCACGTAGGGTTATTTCGTGTACTTTAACAAAAGTTTAAACTGACTTCCATTAAGATTCATGCATGATGCATGACATTCTGTTTTGAAAATTAATGTAGGCCTTTGTTTTTAAGATTACAGCTGTGCAATCTTAGAACGTTCATCAATTGCGTTTTGTAGTCTCGATTCATTCAGGATTCTTGGGCGAGTTTTGTCAACGCCGTCTGAATAGGAAGAAGAAGAAGAAAATTGTTAATTATGATAAATGGATAAAATATTAACTTAAACAATATAAACTATTAAAATGTTTTGATGCCAGTGTTAAAACAAAATTAAATAACCCAAAAGAATATAAACTATTCAAATGTTTTCATGCCAGTGTTGAAACAAAAAAAAATGCCCCAATGTGTCCCGACCTGTTTGGGACCCCCTCTATAAACTTTTTGAATTTTTTTACTTGCATTTAATGTTTTTGATGCTCTCTCTCTGTGTGTGTACAATCCCAACTGAGCAATTTGCAGGTAACTTTTTTCAGCATTGAAATGTTGTTGGTGCATGATACCAGCAGTTAAGTCACATTGTAAGTTTGGGGTTAGCCACGGGAGGAAAGAGGAGAGCCCAGAGGAAACCCCATGCAGAACAGGGAGAGAGAACATCCAAACTCCACGCGCAGTCGGGAATCGAACCCAGGCCCTTCTTGCTGTGAGGCACGGGCATTACCGCTACGCGATGAACCAGCGCGACCCGAGTTCGATTCCTGCTCATGGCCAACGCCAGTGACGATTTATCTGAACCGGTCCTGGGCCTCCCCTAGGTCGACTTAACCTCAAACGAGTCACCGGTGCGGTGCGTAATAGGTGCTCGCTCACAGTACCTGCTCCAACGGTCTGTAAAGACTCTACACGGGGGATCTCTGTCTTCTGCATGGAAGTTATATGCCGAGTTATATTCGCTATCGAGGCGTAACTCGCCCCCTCGTGCAGCGTCAGATGAATGACTTGGGTGCCATGTAGACTGCCGTATTCACGGGATTATGAGACGTTCCGGAAAGAACGACGCACTCAAGATTTCTGCCTGGTGTCATCAAATTTCTACAAATATGAAAACAACAACAACAGACTGTTGGGACAAGTGCTGTTAGCGAGCAGCACCTATGAAGGCCGGCACGGCACATGAGGGGGTGGGTGACCAACACCACGCCCGGCCGCCTTTGTCTCCCCAGTAGCGATGTTTTTACACACCGCACCAGCCACTCGTTTGGAGGCTAAATCGGCATAGGGCAATCCAAGGAGCGGTTCAGATAATCGTCGTCACTGACGGTGATGGCCGTGAGTGGAAATCGAACTCGGGTCGCCGGGGTTCGTATCGCAGCGCGCTAACAGCTACGCCACCGCTCCCCACACACGCACACACAGACACACACACAGACACACAGACACACACACAAGCACACACAGACAAACAAAGATCCCCCATACAGCCTCAATAGACTGTCGGGGCAAGTGCTGTTAGCGAGCACCTATGAAGGCCAGAACGGTACACGAGTGGGTGGGTGGCCAGCACCACGCCCGACCGCCTTTGTCTCCCTAGTGGCGATGTTTACACACCGCACCAGGTACTCATTTGAGGCTGAGTCGACGTACGGGAGGCCCGGGACCGGTTCAGATAATCGTCACCGATGTTGGCCGTGAGCGGGAATTGAACCCGGGTCGCCGGGATTATACACAGACACACACAGACACACACGCGCACGTTTATCGGATTCTAAGACTCACCCCCAACTTTTGCCTTGAAAATTCGGGTGGGGTGTGGGGAAGCGCGTCTTCTAATCTGCACGTGTTGTGAATCCACTACTGGATGAGGGCCGTCCCTCATCCCACTTGAGGGGCACTTGGGGAATGGTTTGGCCATACCCCTCCACCACGCTGGTCAACGCGGGCTGCAGCTGCTGCTTGTGGTGGGAGTTATTTTTTTTGCAGACGGATGGATGCTGCTGCTCTGCCCTCTGCTGCCTGCCCGTGCCTGCTGCACGCGTTGTCGATGCATGCTCAGGGGTCAGGCAACGAAAATATAACGAGAGCAGAGCTATTTTTTTGTTCGAATTCTCTCCAATTTTTTGTTATATTTCAAGAGCGTAACGAGCATGGGGGGCAAGGCACCCCCTGCCTTGCCACCCACTCCACCCCCCCTGGTGGCCAAAGCTACGAGCTGGGCCCCCCATGACACCCACCATGAGATTTGTTGTCAACAAGCAGTGTTAAAGAACAACGACGCTCATTTAAAACGGAGCGCCCCGTACAGCGTTAAATGTTCGAGACCGTGAGCGTTACGATTGCGAGGAGGCAGAAGGAGCCGCGATATCGAAAGGCCTCCTCGGTGCGACCGTGCGAGACAAATCAAATATTGTGGGTGCACCACCCTGACCGATCGCCGCGCCGCCTGAGCTGATGATGGAGTAACTGCGCCACTGATTACGCCGCATTGCGTGCGAATAGGAGACGGTGGGCCCCTTCATAAAATCACGTGACGAGGCCAGGCCCCTTAAAGAGCCACGCGGGTGGCTTCCGGAGCCGCAGTTTGCCGACCCACGCCGTGCGTCGTAGTCACAGCAACGAGTGATTTCAACTCGGGATTACTGATGCTGCCATCACTCCTCGTCGAGTAGAGGAGGGTGGAGGGGGGGAACGACTCAGCAGGTGCCGAGAGGAGGAACCCGCGGACGAGCGAGAAGGCAGCAGCCGGAACCACGCGGTGATGAGCCGGCGCTGCCAGCAATTTGCCCGAGCTTCGCGGTCCTCTGTACGTTGAGCTGTTATCGGCCAATTAGTGAGTGCGTGCGAGGGGGAAACACTCTATTCCGTACAGGCGGAACGGGTGGAGTCCACAGTTCTAGCTGGACCGCCTCCTCCTGGCAGGGCCAGGGCACGGATTGTCCGCGACGCCCACACGGAAAGGGAGTTTTACACCGTCTGTGTGGTGAGCCACCAACCCTCGCTGCCTCCACAGTGCTGTATTACAGGCCACATGCGTAGCCATCACGACCACCAACATCCAGGCACTGATACAGGCTCACAGCTGCTAAGCTTTCGAGATCGCGCTTATTTCTGATGATTTAGGAGTAAGCAGGTGGTGATAGCGAGCGCCTATTACGACTGTGAAGTTCATCACACTCAGATGTCACCTTAGCAGGTTTTTGAATGTCGATGAATTTAAATGTAAAGACTGATGTTCCCCTCGGTTTAAAATGGAACCGCCCGATGGGCAGGTCGTTACCATTCACCTGTGTGGACGTGAGAACGTGGAATGTACCACTGTGGCCAAACAGTGGGTTGGTTTTGGAGGTGGTCATGTTGATGATTGTAAATGTTGTAGATTTGTCACTCCAACACACCGGTGTGCTGTACTGGCAACGAATTGGCCACGTTCTATTTACGTGATAAACCTTACTAGTTGGCTGTGTCGGTTGGCGGCGGGTTTAACGACACATATTTACGCGATCTCATAAAAAATATACCTGTATGATGGATGATATTGGTCGCGAAAGCCTACTTGGTAAACTGATGTTGATGGATGACTGAATTTTGTGCCCGTGTCTCCTTGTCTCCCCTGTGTCTCTCTGTCTCTTCCCACGTCTCCCTCCCCGTCCCCGTCCCATTGTCTCAGAGGGTGCGGGAGCCGAGGCTGGGATCCGCGCCATCAAAAGCGAGAGTGGCAGTGAAGACGAGATGACGTCCCTGGTGGCAGACGAGGCGCGCTCCTCTCTCTCGCAAGAGTACGGGTGGAGGGGGGGGGGTCATGAGGGGTGGGGGTGAGGTCGGGGGGGGTCAGAGAGGAAGGTCATGAGGGGCGGGGGGGAGGTCAGGGGGGGGTCAGAGGAGGTGGGGGTCAGACAGGGATGTGGGGGGGGGGGGCGGTCATGAGGGGCGGGGGGGAGGTCAGGGGGGGTCAGAGAGGAAGGTCATGAGGGGCGGGGGGGAGGTCGGGGGGGGGGTCAGAGAGGAAGGTCATGAGGGGCGGGGGGGAGGTCGGGGGGGGTCAGAGAGGAAGATCATGAGGGGCGGGGGGAGGTCAGGGGGGGTCAGAGAGGAAGGTCATGAGGGGTGGGGGTGAGGTCGGGGGGGGGGGGTCAGAGAGGAAGGTCATGAGGGGCGGGGGGGAGGTCAGGGGGGGTCAGAGGAGGTGGGGGTCAGGCAGGGATGTGGGGGGGGGGGCGGTCATGAGGGGCGGGGGGGAGGTCAGGGGGGGTCAGAGAGGAAGGTCATGAGGGGCGGGGGGGAGGTCAGGGGGGGGTCAGAGAGGAAGGTCATGAGGGGCGGGGGGAGGTCAGGGGGGGTCAGAGAGGAAGGTCATGAGGGGCGGGGGGGAGGTCAGGGGGGGGTCAGAGGAGGTGGGGGTCAGACAGGGATGTGGGGGGGGGGCGGTCATGAGGGGCGGGGGGGAGGTCAGGGGGGGTCAGAGAGGAAGGTCATGAGGGGCGGGGGGGAGGTCGGGGGGGGGGTCAGAGAGGAAGGTCATGAGGGGCGGGGGGGAGGTCGGGGGGGGGTCAGAGAGGAAGGTCATGAGGGGCGGGGGGAGGTCAGGGGGGGTCAGAGAGGAAGGTCATGAGGGGCGGGGGGGAGGTCAGGGGGGTCAGAGGAGGTGGGGGTCAGACAGGGATGTGGGGGGGGGGGGCGGTCATGAGGGGCGGGGGGGAGGTCAGGGGGGGTCAGAGAGGAAGGTCATGAGGGGCGGGGGGGAGGTCAGGGGGGGGTCAGAGAGGAAGGTCATGAGGGGCGGGGGGGAGGTCAGGGGGGGGTCAGAGAGGAAGGTCATGAGGGGCGGGGGTGAGGTCAGGGGGGGGGTCAGAGAGGAAGGTCATGAGGGGCGGGGGGGAGGTCAGGGGGGAGGGTCAGAGGAGGTGGGGGTCAGACAGGGGTGTGGGGGGGGGGCACGGTTGAGGACGATGTGGGGTAGAGCGGGTTTGGGGTAGGGATGGTGAAAACAAAACTACGGATGGGAAATCCAAAGAAACGTCGATGTGCCGTCAGACGAGAAATGTTTGTGATGATAACATCGATGGGCCCTCAAAGATCGGAAACTCAAACGTCGAAGCGTGTATTTTTTTCGGTGCGGTGTTTTTTTGTATTCACTATTTGCAGGAGAGAGCAACATAAATGAGCGAAAGCCTTGTTCCTTACTGGAGAAAATAACGCATATTTAATAACAAAATAGCACAGAGTCTAATGTTTACAACGCTGTTGCTGCAGTCAACACCCAGCCTACGTCTGCTTTCCAGAACATCCACAATAACCCTCTCTGCAGTGCATATTCATCTATCCTGTATACAGCATCGACATCTATCAACCACGTCAGTAGAGTTTAACATGTAGGTTTTCACGACCAATATACATAATGCAGGTTTTCTTGGGTTAGATCGCGTAAATATATAAATATGTCGTTAATCCCGTCAATCAGTAAGGGTTGTCACGTGAACAGAAAGTGGCCGATTCGTCACTAGTACAGCACTAACCGGTGTGTTGGAGAGCCAAGCCACCACATTTACAATCTGAGTACGACGTTTTGCCATTAATTACAACCAGCCTCATCTATTTGAGGAACAACACAGGTGGACTTCTACACAAATCTGGCTGTCGCTTGATGAAGCTAGTTGTAATTATTGGCAAAACGTCGTACTCAGATTGTAAACGTTGTGGATTTGCTCTCCAACACACCGGTTAGTGCTGTACTAGTGACAAATTGGCATGTTCTGTTTACGTGACAACCCTTACTAGTTGGCTGTGTCGGGTGGTGGTGGGTTTAACGACGCATTTATATTTATGCGATCTAACCCAAACAAAACGTGTATGATGGATGTCAGTTGAGCGACCAATTTGTCTCCTTATTTTAGATAAAAATTCAGGTGGCCGTCAGGTGGTGGGATGTTGTTTTTTTTATATTTTGGTGTTTACTTGCCTCCTAGAAATGAGTTTCAGAATTTTAATTGTTTTCCAAAATGTTCAAGGACACCTCTCGATTTGTTTTCTTCTTCAGATATCGTTCGTTGTAATTTAAGGCGTCGTCCTGCCACGTTTTGCCAATTTTGCCGGGAAAATCAAATTTTCTGGCAGGAAAAAAAAAGTGGCAACGTGAGTGTCATTTCCTGTGACATCTTCCTGTCGACTCTACATAGATTTTAGTTTTCCGGATCGTCCAAAATATAATGTAATTGTGTATTATCGAGCGCATTCAACTCGAGGCGCTTGACATAGCTTGCAAAACGGTGACAGAGTAGAATGATTTAGATGGCGGCGGCGTGCTACAAGGAGTGAGGAATGAGAGACAGCGATAGAGGGTTACCTAGGGATCACGAAAGGGCAGGGGAGGGACAGGAAGGGGTGGAGGGGCGAGGCTTTGAGAGAGGAACAGAGGGAGGTTAAGGAGGGGGTAGCTTAATGTACAGGGGCAGTGTTGAGTCAATGGGCAGTGTTGAGTCTATGGTGCAGTGTTGAGTCTATGGTGCAGTCTATGGGCACTGTTGAGTCTATGGTGCAGTGTTGAGTCTGTGGGCAGTGCTGAGTCTGTGCGCAGTGTTGAGTCTATGGTGCATTGTTGAGTATGTGGGCAGTGTTGAGTCTATGGTGCAGTGTTGAGTCTATGGGCAGTGTTGAGTCTATGGGAAGTGCTGAGTCTATGGTGTGGGCAGTGCTGAGTCTGTGCGCAGTGTTGAGTCGATGGGTAGTGTTGAGTCTATGGGCAGTGTTGAGTCTATGGGCAATGTTGAGTCTATGGGCAGTGTTTAGTCTATGGGGAGTGTTTAGTCTATGGACAGTGTTGAGTCTATGGGGAGTGTTTAGTCTATGGGTAGTGTTGAGTCTATGGGCAGTGTTGAGTTTATGGGCAGTGTTGAGTCTGTGCGCAGTGTTGAGTCTATGGTGCATTGTTGAGTCTGTGGGCAGTGTTGAGTCTATGGTGCAGTATTGAGTCTATGGGCAGTGTTGAGTCTATGGGAAGTGCTGAGTCTATGAGCAGTGCTGAGTCTATGGGTAGTGTTGAGTCTATGGTGCAGTGTTGAGTCTATGGGCAGTGTTGAGTCTATGGGCAGTGTTGAGTCTATGGGTAGTGTTGAGTTTATGGGCGGTGTTGAGTTTATGGGCAGTGCTGAGTCTATGGGCAGTGCTGAGTCTATGGTGCAGTGTTGAGTCTGTGGGCAGTGCTGAGTCTGTGCGTAGTGTTGAGTCTATGGTGCATTGTTGAGTCTGTGGGCAGTGTTGAGTCTATGGTGCAGTGTTGAGTCTATGGGTGGTGTTGAGTCTATGGGTGGTGTTGAGTCTATGGGCAGTGTTGAATCTATGGGCATGGTTTAGTCTATGGGCAGTGTTGAATCTATGGGCAGTGTTTAGTCTATGGTGCAGTGTTGAGTCTATGGGCAGTGTTGAGTCTATGGGAAGTGCTGAGTCTATGAGCAGTGCTGAGTCTATGGGTAGTGTTGAGTCTATGGTGCAGTGTTGAGTCTATGGGCAGTGTTGAGTCTATGGGCAGTGTTGAGTCTATGGGTAGTGTTGAGTTTATGGGCGGTGTTGAGTTTATGGGCAGTGCTGAGTCTATGGGCAGTGCTGAGTCTATGGTGCAGTGTTGAGTCTGTGGGCAGTGCTGAGTCTGTGCGTAGTGTTGAGTCTATGGTGCATTGTTGAGTCTGTGGGCAGTGTTGAGTCTATGGTGCAGTGTTGAGTCTATGGGTGGTGTTGAGTCTATGGGTGGTGTTGAGTCTATGGGGAGTGTTTAGTCTATGGGCAGTGTTGAGTCTATGGGCAGTGTTGAATCTATGGGCATGGTTTAGTCTATGGGCAGTGTTGAATCTATGGGCAGTGTTTAGTCTATGGTGCAGTGTTGAGTCTATGGGCAGTGTTGAGTCTATGGGCAGCGTTGACTCTATGGGTAGTGTTGAGTATATGGGCGGTGTTGAGTCTGTGGGTAGTGTTGAGTCTATGGGCAGTGTTGAGTCTATGGGTAGTGTTGAGTCTATGGGCAGTGTTGAGTCTATGGGCAGTGTTTAGTCTATGGGTAGTGTTGAGTCTATGGGGAGTGTTTAGTCCATGGGCAGTGCTACTCAATGTAGAGGGGGAGTTGATTCCAGTGGATCCATTTAGATTTTTCCATACCTTAATTTGTCTATAATAGGTCTCTGAATGTAATTTGTCCAAGCCAACTATTGTTATGATACATTTATTTTATTGTATGTTGTCTTCTGCAGTGCAGTTGATTCGGCTCTGATTTTGTACTTTCTTGATGCATTGGCGCTTTATACTATTGCTTTTGTAATTTTAGTGAGCTAAGCCCAAAAACTACTAACTAAACTATTTTTATTGAACCAGGCAATGCCCACTGAGCTATGTAGCTCTTTTTTCAGTAGCCACCTGGCCACAAATGACAGCTCAACGAAGTGGCTTTTTACGTGGACATGTATAGCAGCCGAATAGCATAAATGCATGTTTCTAAATGACATGCAAACTCCAAATATACAGGCGTCGTGGTCGTGATGGAACCCACGACCTCCTGTGTACCAGGCGACGTAGTAGACATCTCGATCAACTCGAGCAGTGGAACATAGATTCGTACGCCACACCTGTAACGTCTATCCGCACGTACGTGACCCTCGACCCTAACCGTGACCCCCCCCCTCCCGTGACCCCCCGTGACCCCAGCGCCCAGGGCATCAAGAGGTCGGGGAGCCCCGAGTCGCCCGACTCGAAGAGGAGGAGGATTCACCGCTGCGAGTTCGACGGCTGCGACAAAGTGTACACCAAGAGCTCGCACCTCAAGGCTCACATGCGCACGCACACAGGTGAGTGGACGGGTGAGGGTGCACATGTGTGGGCAGGTGAGTGGGTGAGGGTGTAGATGAGGGTGTAGGTGAGGGTGTAGGTGAGTGGACAGGTGAGGGTTCAAGTGTGTGAGCAGGTGAGTGGGCAGGTGAGAGTGCAGTTGAAACTACAACTGAGCGGCTAATTGAGGAGGTAGGTAAGTGGACAGATGAGTTGACAGGTGGAGGTACAAGTGTGTGGGCAGGTGAGTGGGTGAGGGTGTAGGTGAGTATGTAGATGAGTGGACAGGTGAGGGTACAAGTGTGTGGGCAGGTGAGAGTGCAGTTGAAACTACAGGTGAGTGGGCAGGTGAGTGGCTAAGTGAGGAGGTAAGTAAGTGGACAGGTGATTTGACAGGTGGAGGTACAAGTGTGTGGGCAGGTGAGTGGGTAAGGGTGTAGGTGAGTATGTAGATGAGTGGACAGGTGAGGGTACAAGTGTGTGGGCAGGTGAGAGTGCAGTTGAAACTACAGGTGAGTGGGCAGGTGAGTGGTTAAGTGAGTAGGTAAGTGAGTGAACAGGTGATTTGACAGGTGGAGGTACAAGTTTATGGGCAGGTGAGTGGGTAAGCGTGAAACTACAGGTGACCTCCGATTAGTACGATTGGCTACGTACGATATGAAAAAAGTTCAACATACATAGAGGTGAGGATGTCGGTGAGTGGGCAGGTTCAGATACCAATGTGTGGCATGGAGTGGGTAAATACATGAGTTTCAATTTTGGAGGTGAGGCTACTGGTCAGTGGATTTGTAAGTGGGTAGGTAGGTGGCCAGGTGAGTGTATAATCGAGTTAGACGGCTGATAGGGCAGTTGTGGAGAGCGTGGAGAGTTTCCCATACCTGGGCAGTGTGCTCATGACCGGCTCCGGTTTAACAGCAGAGGTCTCACTCCGAATCAGTCGAGCTGCAATATCTTTTCATCGGTTGCGTAACGCCGTGTGGAAGCTACCGGGTCTGTCGCTCCGTACGAAGCTTCAGTTCTTCTCAGACACGGTCATTCCCTCCCTTCTCTACGCTTGTGAAACGTGGACCCCTCTAATGGAACATCTTCGCCGGTTAGAAACATTTAGGCTGGCCTGCCTACGAGCCATCCTCGGTTTAACCAGGCTGGATTGTGTGAAGAGCTCACAGATCCTTGAAAGACCTGGACAAAGTCCCATCGGTGAGCTCCTCCGGCAGGCAAGGCTGCGTTGGCTGGGTCACGTAGCCCGCATGTCCAACCACGGCATGCCTAAACAGCTTTTGTCGGCCGGATAAAGGGGGCTAAACGGGCGCGGCACGGGCTAGAGAAGAAATGGAGTGATGTGGTACAGGAGGATGTGGAGCTGAGTGGACTTGCCAATGACTGGTACCAGCGGTGTCAAGATCGGCCTCTGTGGAAGAGGCTCGTGAAGGATGCTGCTACTGGGCAGTTGGAGGCAGTCGCCCTCTAACAACAACGGAGGGCGGAGGAGCAACGCTCACAACAATGAGCGGAGCGCCAGGTGGCTAAAGCACAGCAAGTTGGCATAGTAGGGGGCACAGGCGGTGTATCAGCCAGTCATCTCAGTCAGTCGACCCGTGGCACCTGGGGTCTGCCCCGTGACCTCCTGCCAGCGGGCGTTCGACACTTCACGTGGCCTCAACGTGCACATAGCCTGGTACAAGCGTCGTGGTGACGTCAGCGCCACTTAGTGTCGAATGGCGGTTGTTGTTGTAGTACAATCGAGGACTCTGGTAGGAAAGCAATTGAGAATATAGGTGAGTAGAGAAGTGAGTGGGAGGTAAATACGCAGGTGTGTGTTCAGATGAGTGGGCAGGTCAAGGCATGGGTGAGTGGGAATACGAGTAGCGGAGAGCTGAGGGTACTAGTGTCTTGATGAATGGACTAGCACGGAAGAGTAGGCCAAATTCCCAGGAAGAGGGGTTCTTTCGAGCTTCCTTTGGTGCAGAGGTCGCAACTGGGTACCCGATACCCGTACCCTACCCGATACCCGGCTACCCGTACCCGGCCGGGTACGGGTACCCGTTTGCGACCCTGGTGCAGCCGGGTACGGGTACAGGTAGACCGTGAGTCACTGGTGAGTAACTGTTTGTCACTCATTTCCCAACGTCTTGTCTCTTCTCACAATTCAAGTTCCTAGAATCAACCCACCCGTGCCTGCAACATGGCTTCATCCCAGAGGTCGCAATCAGGTACCCGATACCCGTACCCTACCCGTACCCGGCTGGGTACGGGTAGGGTACGGCCGTTTGCGACCCTGGTGCGGCCGGGTACGGGTAAGGAATCAAAACCCGTTTGCGACCTCTGCTTTGGTTGGTGGAAGCATTTTTGCCAGTAGGTGGCGCGAGCGAGCAGTTTCAGGGCTGCGTCTCTCTGTGCCAAGTCGCCAAGGCGGCTCTATTGCTGCCACGAGGGTGCGCTATGAGACAGCTGTAGCTGTTGCTGCTGCTGCAGCTGCTGGAGGTGTCAATCAGATCTACCACATTGATGGTTCAAGCGCTAAGGGGCCTGATCGGTACCACCTGGGGTGGAAAATGCCACCTGCCTCCAATGCTACCAGTGTCAGAATCAAAATCAGAATCTGTTTTGATATCTGGAGGAATTCGCTGAACTATAAAGCTCTTTATTACACAGATGTCCAGGGTGGGCAGTGTCGACCACGAGCAGTCTCCACCATGGGCTGACGCCTTGCGTACCTCCGACTAGCACTGTTGGCTACGTAAGGCGCGAAAGAAGTTCGACATCCAGCGATATATTCACTTTCATCCACTTGATTTTCGTCGCTTCGCTCTTTCGTCCGATTTCAACTATAACCGCATTTAAAATTTCGTCCACGCACCGTCGTTTTTCGTTCAGCCCTCTGTGACGTGCTATTTTTTTCGGAGCGTACATTACCTGCTGCGATCTACGGACGAGAAACACGGACGTTGGCAAGAAAAAGTGCAACGAAAGCCGAAGAACAGAAACTCGCGAGATGTTTGCTACCTCGCCTGGTGTACAGGAGGTCGTGGATTCGATCCCGCCCCTGGTACCTGTTGTGTATTTTGGGAGTTTGCGGTGTCTCTCTCTCTCTCTCATCATCATCATCACGGTGGCTATGAGATGTTAACTACCTCGCCTGGTGTACAGGAGGTCGTCGGTTCGATCCCGACCTTGGTGCCTGTTGTGTATTTTGGGAGTTTGCGGTGTCTCTCTCTCTCTCATCATCATCATCACGGTGGCTATGAGATGTTTGCTACCTCGCCTGGTGTACAGATGGTCGTGGGTCCGCCCCTGAAGCCTGCTGCTGTATATTTGGAGTCTGCATGTTTCTATCTCTCCCCGTGGTCGCGTGGATTTTTCTGCGGGTTCTCCGGTGTTGCCCCCCGCATTTATAAAACCACACGGCTTTATAGTACACTACTTGGCTATTATATATTTCCACATTGATAAGCCACTTCGTTGAGCTGTCATTTGTGATAGCCAGGTCGCTTCTGAAAAAGAGTTGTTCAGCTCAGTGGGCCTCACCTGGTAAAAAACAAAACCAGTTTATGGTAATTGTTTTTTTTTACCCTTCTATTTGGCAACAAAACTGACACCTTTTTTACAAGGAGTCATGTTTACATAGACCACAATACCTGCGGTCATAATGCAAACAAAAAAACACAACTCTGATAATGTGCACTGTCCTTGAAGTTGATTGGTCCACACCCGAGACAGCTTTCCTTAGAGCCTAGTCTCACATGGTGTTGGACCAGATGACGCCAAAAGGCGCACAACTGAAAGACAATGCACCATCAGAGTATGAGAGCTCGGGGTAAGCATTTACACCATTGGAACCTCATTTTTTACTGGCAAATGAGGTTACAATGGTGTAAAAAACTAGTTTAGTTTCGATGGGGCTCGTGTGAAGCGGCTGGATGCAGCGTTGCTTCGTGAGGCCGTGAGAGACGGTCATGACCTGCGGTGGGCTTCATCCAGCGGTTGATAGATCCTGGATGATTATGTTCTACGCTAGGACGGGATGTGTTGTGGCAGGGTTGTGGCTTTGAAGTGTGGGCTTGCAGCGCCCGGAGCAGGGATTGACGGGTAATGATTACACACGCGAACACTCGTTTTTCTAGCCCTCTGTTCCTCCCTCTCGCTCGTAATGTCTCCCTCCCCCTGATCCCCCAGGCCTCCCTCCCCCTGATCCCCAACATCTCCCTCCCCCTGATCCCCAACATCTCCCTCCCCTTGATCCCCCACGCCTCCCTCCCCCTGATCCCCAACATCTCCCTCCCCCTGATCCCCAACATCTCCCTCCCCCTGATCCCCACGCCTCCCTCCCCCTGATCCCCAACATCTCCATCCCCCTGATCCCCCAACATCTCCCTCCCCCTGATCCCCAACATCTCCCTCCCCCTGATCCCCAACATCTCCCTCCCCCTGATCCCCTAACATCTCCCTCCCCCTGATCCCCAACATCTCCATCCCCCTGATCCCCAACATCTCCCTCCCCCTGATCCCCAACATCTCCCTCCCCCTGATCCCCAACATCTCCCTCCCCCTGATCCCCCACGCCTCCCTCCCCCTGATCCCCAACATCTCCATCCCCCTGATCCCCAACATCTCCCTCCCCCTGATCCCCCACACCCCCCCCCCCCCCTGATCCTTCACATTTCCCTCCCCCTAATTCTCCACGCCTCCTTCCCCCTGATCCCCCACGCTCCCCCACGCTCCTCCCCCCCCCTGATCCCCCACGCCTCCGGCCTCCTCTCCACCTTCCTCGTAAACATCCCAAACCTCCTCCCTCGTCCCTCCCGGCGCACGCCACCAAACCCCCCCTCGGTGTGCAACGCTCACGAAACCGCAGCGAAACTTCGGGCACCGCGCCGCGCGAAAAATTCACGCGGAGAGGAGAACGATGGCCAACGGGGCGACGTTTCGGGCAAGCGGGCACCTCGTTCCCAGCGCCGGCCGCGGTCGGCCAAACGTCCCCGTGTACAGCAGCAGCAGCAGCGGAGAGCCCTCTTTGGATAGAGTCCTGAGACTCATTTGAGCAAGGCGTGTGTTCACGAATCGGAAGTCTCTCACTTCCGAGCCGTGACGGATCACCTGCGGATGACAAAGCACATTTGTCTCTCTCCAGACCCCCCCTCCCACCCCCGTTTCCCCCGAATCGAGAAGAATGGTCTCACGGTGTTTTGCAACTAAAAATAATAATAATAAACCTCCGGGTACGTGCGTGTGAACATTTGTGTGCGCGCGTGCGTTTAATAGTGGGGAGCGGTAGCGTAGGCGGTTAGCGCGCTACGCTACGAATCCGGGCGACCCGAGTTCGATTCCTGCTCGCGGCCAACACCAGTGACGATTTCTCTCCCCTAGGTCGACTCAGCCTTAAATGAGTACCTGGTGTGATGTGTAAACATCGCCACTCGGAAGATAAAAGCGGCTGGGCGTGGTGCTGGCCACCCACCCCTTCGTGTGTGTGTGTGCCGTGCCGGCCTTCGTAGGTGCTCGCTAACAGCACTTGCCCCAACAGTCTGTTGCAGGCTATACGGGGAATCTTTGTCTTTGTGTGTACGTTGTGTGTTTCATAGATCGCTCAGATTGCATTGTCGGATGGGGAACACGCAGCGTCGTTGGAGCTGAATTAAAATATTTAATCTGATGTTCTCTAAAAATAGTGAGATGCGAGAGTTAAAAGCTTGGCTGGGTAACTGCAGAGCAAATGCCATTCGAGGTGTGTTGTTGTTGTTGTGCGCGTGTGTGGTGCTCACTGCTCGCTTATGATCGTATGGGGAGTATTAGCTAAGCCCAATTGCGAGCATTACCCCTTGCCCTAGCATTAGCCCTAGGGCAAGCATTGCCCCTGGCCCTCATTAATAGCAATGCCACAAACACTTGGGCTGCGTTTGGGAGGAAACCGGAGAAAGCCCACTCCGCATACGATGGACGAGCACTCACCACAGCCCATCCCCTGGCCACACCACCGCAATAGCACGCCTGCAGCACCTGGCAAGCCCCCGGTGGTGGTGGTGGTGGTGGCGTTGGCGGTGGCGGTGATAATGATGGTGGTCACCCATCCAAGCGATAAACCAGGCTCAGTCAACTCTGCTGAGGCTTTGGAGTTCCATCGCGACCGGGGCACGTTCCGGCTGATTCTTTCGTAAGCCCGCCAAGTGCAAAGCTGGGCGCGGGGGGAGGGGGGCGGTGTGCGTGGGTCTCCGCGAGTCTCGTGGCGTGATGCACAGGCGCTAAATGCCGCGTGAAAGAGGCGGAATGTTACGGGGCAGCTCCCGGCGGCCGCTCTCCTCGCACCAGCACGGCAAACGGGCGGCGGTCCCACCGTGCCGAGTTGTTGGGACGCGTGCTGGCTTCGGCGAAGGCCGGCAGAGTAAAGCTGGCCGCCGCCGTCGTGTTTACCCCCCAAGATGTTTACCCCCCCCCCCCCCCAAGATGCGCGCGTTGTTTGGTTTATTTATAGGCGCCGTACGCATCAATCTCGGGATTGCGTGATGCGTGCGCGTATGGGGGGTACGGAAGGGGCGACTCAAGTTGTGCGCCGATGTTTTGCCCGCTGGGAGAGTTATTTTTTGTTTAACTCCATGATGGTGGCAGCCGGCCTGTAAGTCCAGTACCGTGGGGGCGGCGCGGATTGTTGGATCGCACTCGTGTTGTGAAACTCCCTTCTCCGCGTGGGCTGTTGAGGAGGAAGCCATCCTCTGGCTCGCCAGGAAAAAGCGGGGCAGCAAAATGTTGACTCCACCTGTTCCATCTCTGCGGGATGGAGTGTTTCTCCCTCGTACGCGTGGGTTGTCTCCGGTTTCCTTTCGTGCGTAAACACTCATTAAATGGCCAATAACACGTTCATATGTAGAGGACCGCAGAGCTTGGAGGGGAATGTTTCCGCTTTGCGGTTCCTCCTCGTGCCTCTGAGTCGTTCTCTCTCTAAGAGAGCGAGCGAATACGGTGCGGTGTGTTACAAGTTGACATTCGTGTATTATTATTTGTCAAAAGTCTCCACCCACAGCCCAATGCCGCGTGGACGGAAGGCCCCTCTCTCTGCCGCCTGTTGCTGCTGCTGGACTTCCACGTGTTTGTCCCTCTGTCGGAGGAGCGCAACTTTTTGAGTCGGAGACGACTCCAATCAGACGACGGGAGGCGTCATCCTGATACGCTTTTCCAAGCAGAGGGACGCATGCTTCTATCCATTGTAGCGACTCGCACCTCGTCTGCTCGTAGAGCGGTGTTCTAACCCGACTGCGCGAGGTGCTTGCGCTGTGCGGGCGCGCCACGTGTGGCGTGGAGATCTTGAAGTTGTTGCATTGTGTCTCGTCGTGTGCGTGCGTGCGCGCGCAGGCGAGAAGCCCTACCGCTGCACGTGGGACGGCTGCACGTGGAAGTTCGCGCGCTCGGACGAGCTGACGCGGCACTTCCGCAAGCACACGGGCGTGAAGCCCTTCAAGTGCGTGGACTGCGAGCGCTCCTTCTCGCGCTCCGACCACCTCGCGCTGCACCGCAAACGCCACATGTTGGTGTGAGGGCCCCGGGGGGGGGGGGGAGGGGGTGCGTGGCCTCCCCCCCCTGTGTGTGGCGAGGCCCTGCGGGTGAGGCCCTGTGGGAGTTTTATGGGGCCTGCGTGAAGTAGCAAGGGTCAAGGTTGAGACCTGGCTTTGACGCACTCGGTTTCATCCCAGAGTTTGAGGCCTGGGGTTGAGGCGTGGGATTTAAGCCCCGAGGTTTGAGGCGTGGGTTTTGAGGCCCTGGCGTGAGGCGTCGGAGGAGTCGTGGTGGCAAAGCAACAGGAGGAGGAGGCGGAGGGTTGGTGGATGTTGGATGGACGTTTACACCGGTGCAGGTTGTGCGCGTCTGGTTTGTGTCCGCGCGCACTCACATGCTTGCACAAGTCCTGCCGCTTTCAACGCACTCACACGTGTACACGAGCTTGCACTCATAAGCGCCCACCTACACGCGCACCGGCTCACACATGCAGACGCATGCACGCAAGCGCACACACAGTGACTTACGCGTGTGCACGTGCGTGCACGACTTCATGGTGACCAACACACCAAACGCAACAGATACACTCACACACTCGATGCTCTCGCCACGTCTCGCGCACGCAAAATTGCACGATGAACACACCACATCAAACAGACATTGGTACCATTGGAGGGTGGATACATTTTGGTGGTACCAATTTCTCCATGTGGCCAATAAATGTGAATTTACACACGATAGCATTTTCCTACTGTTTTCACATGAACATATCATCTGTGTTATTAGGGGCGTAACGATGAAATCGATCGATACGGACTATTATCGACTCTAAAACTCAAGGTACAGGCATCAAAATCTCGCCGGTTCGAATTCATATATTCCGTTTTCAATAATGTGACCCCCCCTCCGGCCACTAGAGCCTGCTACATTCACCGCACGTGAAAGCAAATGATCAAATCGCACCCCAAACGGTGATGGACTTTTCAAGAGATTGTGTTTTGCCAACCACAAGTATCAAGCCTACCGAGAAGTGAGATGATACCTGGAGTCGTGTATAAATGAGTACAGAACGACATGCAGTGGCGTAGGTTTGATTTAAGATAAGATTTATGATAAGATGTGTCGTAATTCTGCGTGAAGTTGATATCGTGGCCTGCTGGACGTTTTACAGTTCGTGAGAGAATTTTCTGTGCTTTGGTCCCGGGTTATTTACGCCCGGGCTAACAGCAGCAGTGGCAATAGCACAACAATTTACAACAACAACAACAACCACCACTGTTCACCACTAAGTTGCGGTGACGTCACCGCCCCCCCCCCCGTACCAGGCTCGGTGCACTTTGACGTCGTGTGAAAGTGTGGAAGGTTTTGCACGTTGAACGCACGCACACAATGGTAACAACAGCCGCAGTTCACCGTTCAGTGGCGGTGACCCTCTCCACTGGTTCTCGTGCCAGGCTAGGTGCACGTTAACAGTGGTGGAAGGCTCGCTGGTGGGCCGTCATCTATCAGACCCCAGGTGTTATGGGTTAACTCGGTGAGGTGACTGGCATCACCACCTGTTGCGAGCCCACTTGCACACACACACACACTCTAGCGACTGCTTATTCAATGAACAATTAAAATAAAATAAACTACCTAAACTTATTTATATAAAATTCTATATATATAGTGACACAGAGAGTTAGCAGAGGCTATCCCGGTTCTAGTAATAACACACGGTGTGTATTTTTTTTTCTCTTTCTGAACGATGCAGTGAAAAGCGACGTGGATATTGATCAGGTTTGGGAACGTGATTTTTTGTTGTTGTAAATCTAAATGTGACACAACAACAACAACAAAATCCATCACTGCTTCGACGCCGGCGAAGCCCCAAGGCCTTCGCTTGCGTGACCGGGTGAATTATTTAAAACGAAACATAAAATTCTCGGCTCGGAATTCTAATTTTTAGACGGGAGCCGTAATATTCGATCTTGGGACAGGAATCTCTCTTTTGTCGTCGTAATTGTTTCCCTCTTCCCTGAAAAGCACTAACTGCGTTTTATACCAAGTGCCATGCTGCTGAACTGCGTCAGGCGGACGGGATATTTACGATGGCGATGACAACGACGACGACGACGATGATGATGATCAGGGTCTAATTTCTCCCGGGATATTTTGAGAGGATTTACCGGACATAGCAGTTGCGCCCGGGGGGGGGGGGGGGCGGGGGGGGGGGTCACGCACTTTGCTCTACTGGAGTAGATGGCACGTGGCTTGTTCGTAGCCACGGGCATGAGCGAGCGAGAGAAGGTAAACATGATGTGGTGTGCCGGGCGTGGGAATATTTTCCCGGAATAGCTGACACCCGGACGGACCTGGCCTGAAATTAAACCCTGATGATGATGATGATGCCGCCGCTACTACTACTACTGTAAAACTCCTCTTATTCGCGATTATGTCGTTGGGGGGGGGGGGGGGGGGCATCAATGTTTATTTATCCGTGGGGCGATCTGCAAATCGTACGGATCGCGGATGAGAGGAGTTTAACAGGACTCCCACTACGACTACGACGCCACTGCTGTACAAACTCCCACCAGTATTTCTGATCGCCGTAAGATGAACACGGCGCGGAATATGCAAGCGACCCACCCCGCGGCCGCATTGCTCCACGCCGAGTGGTCGATGTACACTGCACCAGAGCCTCGCGAGTGAAACTCACCGCAGTTATTTTACGGGCGGAATCGGAGCTGCATTGCGTACAAGGCGGGCGGGCGGGCGGACGCACGGGGAAGCGCACATAGACCTATATAGATACGAATATATTTTTTTGTTCCTCGTGTGTTTCGCTAAACGGGCAGACGGTCTTTTTGTGGTGGGGGGGGAGGTGGGTTGGGGGGGGGGCACGATGTGATGTGAAACTCGGGAAAAACTTTGACCAGATATTTCTCGGTTTTTTTTTCCTGCATTTTGTAAACACGTTTATCCCCGTTCCTTTCATCCCAAACGCTCCCCACTCCCAATGAGACCCGGGGGGGGGGGGGGGGGGGGGGCGGGCTTCATTTCTCACCCGACTATTTTCCGGGATGCTGGGAAACTGGAGTCGTCGTCGGCGCAATAAAAATTGCGTCGGCTCGCAATGCGCCGGCCCCGCACAGCGCTCGCTCCTCGCCCCCGTCGAGAGAGAACGAGCGCAGAGGCGTGATAGGAGGAGGAGGAACCAAGGACGAGCAGCAGCCAGGCGGTGAGGAGCCGGTGCCAAATTCCCCCACGAGCTCTGCGGTCCGATCTAATGAGACTGTTTACAAGTGGGAGGTGAAACCGGAGCACCCGGACAAACCCCCATGCGTGCGAGGGGGGAACGCTGTATCCCCCTGAGCACGTGGAGTCGGCACTTTGCTCAACTGCCTTCTCCCGGCCAGCCAGGGTACGGGCATCGCCTCGATGCCCGGCGTGAAGGCAGTTTCACGACGTTTGCGTGATCCACCGACCCTTGCCTCCACAGTGCTGGATTACAGGGATGCACCAGCACGCGACTGGTAGCAGCCAGAGCAGTAGCAAAGAAGAGGCTCTACTGGATGTGCTGTGCCAGGCAGAGACATATTTTACGGGTTTCCAATAGACCTGGGCAAACCCGGCTGAAATGAATCCCACTCGCGCACCCACTCACCCACCCACTCACCTAACCGCACAAGTACCCACTCACCTAAGCGCCCGCTTACCCGATCAGCTACTCACCTACCTGCTCACCTGCTCACTCGCCTTCCCTGTCACCGACACCCAGGCTCCGTTTATCACTGATTATTCCCAGCGTCGCTGGTGGGCTTTATGTAGCAACTAAAACCATCGCGAGAGGGAGGGAGATACACGCTGTATGTGGTTTTACCGGCAGGTCAATTATTTCTTCAGGCCGGCGACAGACCCGGCTGCAAGTGAGCCCTGCCCACAGCAACACCAAGGGCAGCATCGTAGCCACCCAGTGTGAAACATACAAAAATCGTAGATCAGCTCCGAAATATTTTTTTTGTTACGAAAGAATTTGTTGGCAGTGATACAAACCTTTCGCTCGAGGTCACGCGGCGCAAATTCAAGGAGTTTCCGCTGATCTTTGCGTTCTTCATGCGGCTATGACTTTGGTGGGTGGTGGTGGTTGTGGTGGGTGGTGGTGGTGGGTGGTGGTGGCGGCGGCTGGCATTGGTAGTGTAGAGATCAGCGCGCTGCGCTACAAACCCTGTGCCCCCGAGTACGATCACCCGCTCACGGCCAACACCAGTGACGATTATCTAAATTGGTCCTGGGCCTCAGCCTCAAATGAGTACCTGGTGCATTGTGTGTACGCATTGCTACTGGGGAGACAAAGACGGCCGGGCGTGGTGCTGGCCACCCAGCCTCTCGTGAGCCGTGCCGGCCTTCATAGGCGCTCGCTAAAAGCACGTGCCCCAACAATCTGTTAAGGCTATACGGGGGGATCTTTGTCTTTGGTGGCCCCTACAATTTATCGCTCCGGATCCGGGGAATTGTGTGTGTGCATGCGTAGTCCACCGCGGGTTTTACAATCACGTGTGAGGATATTTGGTGTCTTGGCAGTGGCGTTTTATTTTTTTTATTTATGCGGAGAAAAACCTGGCCGTGTCTCGGGGCTCTTTCCCAAGAGGGCTCTGCCACATTGGGATGTTTGGCCCAGGTCAGTTTCTGTTTAATTAGGAGTTGTCTTTTGTGAGGATGCTGCTGCTGCTATCATCGCCGCCGGTTCCATTCCTCCTCCTGGCGCGGCAGTTGGAACAACGCCACAAGTTTCTTAAATTCCCCCTCGTTTATGATTTCAATTTTATTTTATTATAACCCTCCACCACCCAGCGACAGAATCAATCGAATCGAGTTGACACGCCATGGCCAAATATGCCACTTGATTTGGAGTTTCAGCAAATCGGAGGAATATTGAAAGGCCAGCAGCAACATTTTGACAAATTTGTCTAACGTTTCGCTGGAGATTACAGCCAGCATCTGCAGGAGTTATTTAAAAGTTTACCTTTTACTGAATCATCCCTTTTTATGGTCTCATCCATAGAGTCTGAATCTGCAGAATCACCAGTTGAGTGAATCTGCAGTGTCCATAGCAGAGTGATTCTGTAGAATCCAATGCGGAGTGAGTTTGCAATCCAGAGTGGATTGAATCTGCAAAATCCCCAGTTGAGTGAATCTGCAGTGTCCATATCAGAGTGATTCTGTAGAATCCAATGCGGAGTGAGTTTGCAATCCAGAGTGGATTGAATCTGCAAAATCCCCAGTTGAGTGAATCTGCAGTGTCCATAGCAGAGTGATTCTGTAGAATCCAATGCGGAGTGAGTTTGCAATCCAGAGTGGATTGAATCTGCAGAATCACCAGTTGAGTGAATCTGCAGTGTCCATAGCAGAGTGATTCTGTAGAATCCAATGCGGAATGAGTTTGCAATCCAGAGTGGATTGAATCTGCAGAATCACCAGTTGAGTGAATCTGCAGTGTCCATAGCAGAGTGATTCTGTAGAATCCAATGCGGAGTGAGTTTGCAATCCAGAGTGGATTGAATCTGCAAAATCCCCAGTGGGTGGAGTGAGTCTGCAGCATCCAGAGTGGAGTGAATCTGCAGAAATCACAGTCGGTTGAGTGAATCAATCGACTGCTTCTAATTCACCTCCTCACCCCCTCCCGATGTGGAGCCCGGTGCCTGGACCCCTTGTGGCAGTTGGACCGCCTGCGCACCACTATCCTGTCATAGTCACTACCCTGTCATAGTCACCATCCTGTCATAGTCACTACCCTGTCATAGTCACTATCCTGTCATGGTCACTACCCTGTCATAGTCACTACCCTGTCATAGTCACTATCCTGTCATAGTCACCATCCTGTCATAGTCACTATCTTGTCATAGTCACTACCCTGTCATAGTCACTACCCTGTCATAGTCACTACCCTGTCATGGTCACTACCCTGTCATGGTCACTACCCTGTCATGGTCACTACCCTGTCATAGTCACTACCCTGTCATAGTCACTACCCTGTCATAGTCACTACCCTGTCATGGTCACCATCCTGTCATAGTCACTACCCTGTCATAGTCACTATCCTGTCATAGTCACTACCCTGTCATAGTCACTACCCTGTCATGGTCACCATCCTGTCATAGTCACTACCCTGTCATAGTCACTATCCTGTCATGGTCACTACCCTGTCATAGTCACTATCCTGTCATGGTCACTACCCTGTCATAGTCACTACCCTGTCATAGTCACTACCCTGTCATAGTCACTACCCTGTCATAGTCACTACCCTGTCATAGTCACCATCCTGTCATAGTCACTACCCTGTCATAGTCACTACCCTGTCATAGTCACTACCCTGTCATAGTCACTACCCTGTCATGGTCACCATCCTGTCATAGTCACTACCCTGTCATAGTCACTATCCTGTCATAGTCACCATCCTGTCATAGTCACTACCCTGTCATAGTCACTACCCTGTCATGGTCACCATCCTGTCATAGTCACTACCCTGTCATAGTCACTATCCTGTCATAGTCACCATCCTGTCATAGTCACTACCCTGTCATAGTCACTACCCTGTCATGGTCACCATCCTGTCATAGTCACTACCCTGTCATAGTCACTATCCTGTCATAGTCACCACCCTGTCATAGTCACTACCCTGTCATAGTCACTACCCTGTCATAGTCACTACCCTGTCATAGTCCACTATCCTGTCATAGTCACTATCCTGTCATAGTCACTACCCTGTCATAGTCACTATCCTGTCATAGTCACCACCCTGTCATAGTCACTACCCTGTCATAGTCACTACCCTGTCATGGTCACTATCCTGTCATAGTCACTACCCTGTCATAGTCACTACCCTGTCATGGTCACTATCCTGTCATAGTCACCACCCTGTCATAGTCACTACCCTGTCATAGTCACTACCCTGTCATAGTCACTACCCTGTCATAGTCACTATCCTGTCATAGTCACCACCCTGTCATAGTCACTACCCTGTCATAGTCACTACCCTGTCATGGTCACTATCCTGTCATAGTCACCACCCTGTCATAGTCACTACCCTGTCATGGTCACCATCCTGTCATAGTCACTACCCTGTCATAGTCACTATCCTGTCATAGTCACTACCCTGTCATGGTCACCATCCTGTCATAGTCACTACCCTGTCATAGTCACTACCCTGTCG